TATCCGAAGGCTTTTCCGTTTTAAATAATTTGACGCAATCACCACTTTGTCTTTAATTATATAATGGGAAGCGTCATGTTGATATATCTGATGTTCCAGATCCCTGCGATAAGAACACCCAGCTGTACCAGAACATATCCCACCTGAGACATTGCCCTGACCGCGCCTACTGCATCAACCTCTCGGTGTCGAGCGGGCCTAAGATCCGCTGCAAGTGCGTCATGGGCTACGCCCTGAACGAGCAGGACTGGATGTGCGAGGGTGAGTACCCTCGTCCCCGTTCGGCAGCCCAGACTCAGCGTGCTGTACCGTGCAGCACCACCCCCGCTGGAGACCACAGCACGGCCCATCCCAACCATGAACACGGTGAGCGGCGCCGCACGATGTCACAGGTGTGCTGACCACCGGTGGTCTGTCCCAGGTGGAGATGACAGTGTCCCTGGTCGTGTCCCGGACCGCCACTATCTTCCTCATCTTTATGATCAGCGCCACATTACTCTTCTTTGTGATCATCAGGTAGGCACATACACTGCTCTTCTTTGTTTTCATCATACAGGTGCACTGATTCTTTCGTTACATTATATACAAATACAAATATATTTGCCATATAAATGAGCTTGTGTATAAGAATTCAAATCTATAAATGTGTGTTTTATCTATATATCTAGAGGAAGGACACTTACTTGACCTTGAAGTTGGAAACGTCTTCTAAAGGCGGAGGAATCTACTAGGTCAAGGGCATAGGGATACGGAAAGCAAGGGGACACCATAGTGTTATTTCCTACTAAAGAAATTTTTAATAATGGACTAACTGGACCAAGGCAACATCTTACCGCTAGATTATGGCTAGTGATCCATCGTATTGGAAGATTCTGATTGAAGAGGCAGTTTTAGGACGGATTCAGCTGGGGACACTCATAAGTCTATTATTAAGATCATATATAACATCTCGTTTTCAATGTTGTAACAAAGGCTCGTGCGTTAGGAATTATATGTGTTATTGTTCCATTGTGTCATATAGGACTTTCTACCTATTGTCACACTCCACACCGATTCTGGGAACAGGATTATTGACGTTTTTTAGGCCAGAAGGCAGGTCTCTATTGTTACCGGGAATTCATTGCTGTGTTTTTTTATTGGGACAGATTAAATTACATTTTTCTCCGCTTAGAGTGAACATTTATCTCCCAGAAAATAGTAAAATGCTCATTTTTGCAAATAAATCAATGCACTTTGAAAATAAATAAATCGATTAAACCTGCAAGTTAAATTTTATGTTTAAAATTTTCTTCTAGCCATATTATAAAATTCCAACTAAAGATAAATTTGTGTTATAAATTGTATCTTTCGGAAACAAAGATCTGGTTTCAAAACCCTTTCCTTGGATATTCTTGCAGCCACAGCCACATAAGTGCAAAGTGCATTTTTTATGCAAATTCTAACTGCTTCTGCATTGTGTAGACATATGGTCCATTTACAGCATAAGTAGTCGCTTTAAATATCCTTGTTAAATAACCATCTTCTTCTCTCAATCTTATTTGAGTGATGGGAATTTTCGCCATCTTCAGGACTTGATTTCATCTCATCTGAACTCAAAATTTATCAGAGGCTTGTTTAATTAGTGTATAGTAGGTTATCTGGGTGAATTTGTACGCAACTCAGCGGATTAGAAAAGTTTTGTTTTATATTCGGCTATTGCTCGATCCAGACATAAGTGAAAATTGCAGCATCGACGACTCTAAAACAATAACTCGACAGGCTCCAAGCCTAACGATTCTTTGCTGCTCTGTGTGTGTGAGGAAATTTTAAAATATCTAATAAATTTGTTAGTCTGTGATTAAATATTAGTTTATTTCATTTTTAGATAATTTTAAATATCCCAAATCTCTTGAGAGAAGACATATATAACTACGATGCTATCGATGTAGTAAACCCAGTCCAAAATATTTCCATCTTCAGATGTAACTTTGTGTTGACAGTGTATTCAGCGTGGACCGAGTCATCCAGATGAACATGGAAGTGTCCATCCTGATGGCACATTTGCTGATGTTGATTCCGAACTCCGTGGCCGAGAACAATCCGGTAAACTTTCTCTCATTTTTGACCGATGTTGGATAGGTCACTACCTAATGATGTCAAATGCTGTGGTCAATAGCAACTTAGTTTCAAACATATGGCTTCATTTCATATAGGTCGTTCTTCAATAGGCCTATATTTACTCCACATGAACAAGAAAATGCATTTCTCTTTTGTTTTGAAATTGAAAACATGTTTTCATGTACTGCATCTAGATAAAAACATATAGCGCTATTTAAGACAATAATATATATGTATATAAAAAGAGAGGCGTACATGGATCTGTTAAATAAAAAACCTTTTTTTTCATATTTCAGATTGCACCATTTTTATCTTTTTTTTTGCACGAAAACTTAAAAGTAATTTACAAATCCTGGTCGATTACCTGGAAACAAATTTGCCATTGTTTCTTTGTGATCTATATGAATTCATACATATTTTTTTAGACAATAAATTCATAAAAAGGGAGCAATCCCTCGAAATTTATTTAGGAAAATAATGTTTTTCTTTCTCTCACTGATCTAAGTACGCCTTTTTTATGTAATCACTAGCCGAATGACCCGGGCAACGCCCGGGGTTTACCCGATTAAATGCTTTTATTCAAATACTATTCGTTACAATTATAAATTGGCGCCGTGGATGTCATTCTTGTATAATATATAAATGAGTTTTAAAAATTGTAAAAAAAAAAATGCATCGGCCGGGAATCGAACCCGGGGCGCCCGCGTGGCAGGCGAGCATTCTACCACTGAACCAAAAGCAAACGGTGACAGAATTAAGAACGCATGACGCTGATAACTGTATCCCTATATATAGTCACGACCGTCATGGGCCAGCTGGCCGGCCGGCCGGTTCTGTCACGGATGCGCGCGCATCATCATTATGATCATTATCATTATCTAATGATAATAATAATAATAATTATTATTATTATTATTATATTATTATTATTATCCATCCCTATCAACATATATAGTCACGACCGTCATGGGCCGGCCGGTCGGTTCTGTCACGGATGCGCGCGCATCATCATTATGATCATTATCATTATCTAATGATAATAATAATAATAATAATTATTATTATTATTATTATTATTATTATTATTATTAAACAACGCTGAGCAAATTCAAAATCCATCTTAAGCCAGCAAATAAAGAAAGATTATATCTTCAACGCGAAGAAATGGGAAGAGGATTGGTGAACTTGGTCCAAAAAAACGAAAGAATTCTGCTAAGCCTCTACAAGTATATATTTGGGGGGGAGACAACAAAAAGAAAGGAAGCCATTAAAGCGTGTGAACAGGGCGAAAACACAATGCTCACGCACATCCAACTAATTGTAGAAAACAAGTACAAAATAGAAGCCCAAAACATCACAATGAAAACTCTGAAAGAAAAACAGATTGAAAATCTAAGAGAAATCATTGGCCAGAAAATAATCCACAGAACATTCTTTAAAAATGAAGACCAACCGCTATTGGACATGATAGAATCCTCACAGTGGCTCAAAACGGGAAACAACACACCACAAAATGAAGGATTCTACATGTTCATACAAGATAGAAACGTGTTCCCGAAGGATAAGAACCTGAAATGCCCTCACTGTGAAAAGGTACAGAGGACGGTGGACCACCTTGCTACAAACTGTGGAAGATTGCTTCCTTACGACTACACTGAGAGGCATAATGAAGTGGTGAGATGCGTCCACTTCAACTTGGCAAGAAAATATAATTTCACAGAGAACAAGAAGATAAAGCTCCACAAAATAACGACTAAGATTGAAAATTCATACGCCAAGATAATAACGGACCTGCCAATGATAAGCGATATCAATATCAGAGCTAACAAACCTGATATAATAGTATATGACAAAATAAAAAAAGACATAACAATCATAGAGATAGGGGTTACCTCCCAAGACAATATCCAAACTACGGAGCTGACAAAGAAAAGAAAATACCAGCTACTGGCGAGGGAAATGGCCCAAACTGAAAAAATGCCCGTAAAAGTAGTGCCGATAGTCTTAACATGGGATGGAATAGTAACCAAATATAACAAACAATACAGGAAGGAAATAAACATAAGAAAAAGGGACTTTGCATATATTCAATCCCTGGTGCTAAAAAAGACGATGGAAATTATCTCAACAGAAAAGAAGAATGAACCTTACGATAAGTTACAGAGAAATAAAGAAATGGAAGCCATGGATAGATTGTTGGAACGATGTAGGGAGCTGGCATGTGATGACGAGGAAGGTGGAACACCGGACATGGAGCACAGGGATACGAAGACCATAGAAGAGATCCAGGAGAACGACCTAGAGCAGATGACAGGAGACCTGACAGACAAGAATGGATCAAGGCCAGGGGACCATCTTATCGAGGAGCCACTAGTAGAGGCCATAGAAAGACTGCTGGAGAGCTGCAGGACATCAGGGGACCATAACGGCAAGGGCCACAGCACTGACCAGGAGTCATGATAGCAAATGTAAATATCTTTGTTTACTTTTACTGTTGTCATTTATTGAAGTTGTAAATAAAAATATGTAAATAGACTGACCATTCGCTACACTTTTTAGAGAAAAACTTGTAACCTTTTGGAAAATAAAATTATTATTATTATTATATTATTATTATTATCCATCCATTATATATATAGTCACGACCGTCATGGGCCGGCCGGTTCTGTCACGGATGCGCGCGCACAGGGAGGTCACGTGCTCGCCGGCAGCCAACGGGCGCGCGCCGCCGGCATTACGTCATAGATTATAAACACAAGGTAATAAGGCCAAATAAAAAAATAGTGTGTGATAAGGTACAATTTGGATTATCTACTTATATAATTGCCTTATTCTCTCTGTGTGAAGTTCACTGTGTGAAGTTCACGGATAGATTTTGGTCAGAATGGATAAAATAAAAAAAGTGTCAAGGGATGGGAATCGAACCCACGACCTTCCGCTTACCGGGCCGATGCCATGACCACTAGGCTACCCTGGACATATTTTTCCGTTCACATTTTTATTTTTATATTTTCAAGACACACACAGTTTAGGGCGGGACGTTTCACAAGAGAGACATCCACGGCGCCAATTTATAAATGTAACGAATAGTATTTTAATTAAAACATTTTAAAAATATATACGCACTCGGGTAAAACCCGGGCGTTGCCCGGGCCATTCGTCTAGTATATTAATAATCAATGGATCGCCTTTTAACCCAAAAATGTTTGTTTCCAGATGTTCTGCAAGACAGTTTCCATCTTGCTCCACTTCTTCTACATCGCATGTTTCATGTTCATGTTCCTGGAGTCCCTGCATATGTACAGCATGGTGGCGCACGTTGTGCCGCGCAACGGACTCATGAACCGCCTGCAGAACATGATTGTTGGATGGGGTGTGTAATCCTTCTCTTTTCTCCCCACTCCTTTTTATACCGTGGTATATCTTCTAACGACATAAAACATTTGATACAGTATATAGCCTCTGCTCTATATTTACAAGATTGACAATTTATATCATCCTTGTAGTTAATCTCCATTGTCAAATATAATATGGTTATCTAGAAGAATTGTTTCATCATATTTTAACAATTAGTATCCCAAACATGTCATTTCAAATTTTTCTGAACTTTGCCAGAGTGTTCTTAAGCAAATCAAGTGTTGATTTAAAGGAAATGTAAGAGTCATATTTTGGGGTGGAGTTGAAACTTAAGTCACTATCTGCTCTTGTCACATGTGTTCCAATATTAAAGGTGAGGAACGTCGTTGATCAACTAGCTGCCACACCTATGGAAGAGGATAAAAGTCCAATGAAGTTTCTTTCTATTTATTTTCCACTTACGTTGAAAGCTCTGGGGGAAGATCACCTCTTTTTCCAGTTAGATTATGGAATCATGTTGATGCTATTGCTGAGGAATTGTCCAAGACAATATATTTTGTGAACGTTTTCATAGAGCTGTAAGCTCTATGCTTAATTGAAGTCAATTAATTATTTTTTTGTAGAAGATTATAAAATTAATTATTGATTTTTTTATTGCCTAACCAGTAGTTATTGATCTTTGAAAATGAAAATTATTTCTATGAATAAATATATTTAGCATTTTGAATGTGTGTGTTATATTCTGTTTTCAATTTCAAAATATTCAGCTTATGGGTTTTCCGTTTTGGTAATATACAGGGTGATCCAAAAGTCCCGCACAACTTTAAAAATTAATAACTCCGCGAATATTTGCGCTAGAGCAATGCGGTAAACACCATTGTGTTCAGAATGCAATGGGATTTTTTATGGCAAATATAGAAAATTTCGAAATTGATTTTAGTTACAATTTCATTCCCTAGATGGCGCTGTACCAGAATCAGAAATTCAGCGGCCGAATTGTTTGATTAATTGAAAAATATAACTGATCGACACGTATTTTTCCTTTTTGTATACCAGGAAAGAATCCTAATAATATCAAATCGTTAATTAATAAAGCACCATTTCGCCAAAAGTTAGAAGAAATGGTTAACGATTTTTAAATACAATCTGAGATATGTAAAATTGGTATATGCAAATTAAAACATGTAGCAAAAAATATTTATATTTTTGATAGAGTTTTGTCAAATATATTGAATGTTTGAAAAACATAGCTGAATTCAATACACGATTTTTTGAAATGTTAATATAGTACCAAAAATTATGATGGTACTACTAATAGGATTTCTTGCTATAAGGAATGTGTAATTTCTTGAATAATTGGCGACACTCGACTATTTAACTGGAAATTTGTCATGATCCAACAAATGAAATATTGTTACATCATGATTAATGGCGTATTTCTTATATTAGTTTTAATATATTTGAAATTTAAATTATATATTTATTTATTTTTATATAAAATATTCTATGATATTTATTTAAAACAGATTATTAATTTATCATCATTTGTATTTAGGTACACTGTGACTTCACTGCTCTCTTTGATGTGAGAAAATAAAGGGAGGATTCTGGTGGCTACTTAAAGAAGACTTATCTCGTTATTCCCTTTTATAAATTTGTAGGATGGTTGAAACACGCTCTGGTAAGATGCAAGACCCAGCACAGGAGAGAATCCAGGCTGAAGAGTCTGCCAAGCCGCAACCTGGTGCAACAATTGGTAGAGATGCTAGTTCCGACCCAGTTGTCCTGAATCCCAACATCGACATCCCCAAGTATGATGGAACGGAAGACCCTCGCCCATGGATTGAATCTCTTGAAGAAATTGGCTTCTTGTACCATTGGGCAGACTACATTATCTCTCGTTATGCCGCCATGAACATGACGGGAAGCGCTAAAACCTGGTTGAATTTACACAAAGCTAGTTTCACGAGCTGGGAAAATATTAAAATCCGCCTCATTCAGGATTTTTCTTTGGACGCGAATAAAGAAGAACTTAGAATGAAGCTCAACAGAATGCAACACTGGAATGAACCAGCAATCAGGTTCGCGGAAGACATTCTAGTGTTGTGCAACAAGGTTGACCCCGCAATGGAAGAAGAAACAAAAATTGAACATGTTATTGGAGGACTGAAAAAAGAGTACTCATTCGCGCTCTACCTGAACCCTCCTAAAACGACCGATGACCTTCTTGTCGTGTGCAAGAAAATGGATTATTTTGAAAAGAAGTATCGGGAACGTGTGGAGAAATCCAGAAACCTATATAACGGTCCACGCTATTCTAGACCCCAACAACAATCGAGGTACGTGCCGCCGACTGCCGCACGAAACTACCAGACCACTTCCAGGCCCCAAGCCCCTGTTTCCAATAATTACAAGAACGACTCCCCTCCTACTCCCAGACAGTATCGAAACAACTTTCCCCAGCCCTCTACCCCTAGACGTCCTTATAATCCTAACTTTGTGCCGAAACCAAACCTTCAGAGAAACACTTACAATAAAAGCCAAGAAGTGAGCAAAAATAGGACGGAAGATGGAAGACCAATCTGCTTTAAATGTAACAAGCCAGGGCACGTGGCCCGTTATTGTAGGGTCAAGTTTATAAGAATCCTAGAAGAGGATCCAGCAGATACCCAAGAGAAGGTCGAAGAAAAATGCCAAATGAATGAAATATCAGAGAAATCAGGACCTCGGCTTTATGCTGATGTATGTCATAGCACACAGACAAATATTCCTACCCGGAATAGATATTCCGTGTTGGAAGATTTAAACTAAGCGTCGCGCCTGAATCTGTCAATCAAAGCAAGTCGACCATAAACGGAATCAAGAAGTTGGACCCTAAATACAAATTAAAAATTAATGTGGACAAGATAGGGACTTTTGAAGCTTTGGTTGATACAGGTGCTGACCTCTCAGTGGTCGACCTCAGAACGGCCCTCGATACAGGCCATGGTATAAGTAAACTCGCAAAAATTTGTGCAGGACCCGATGGAAAAAAATTGGACATGGTAGGAAGTATATTTTTAAATATAAAAATTGATGACGAAACATTATCACACAACTTTGTGATATTGAAAACGCATTTACGGACATTAATTCTTGGGAGAGATTTCCTTAAGAAAATGAACGCAAAAATAGATTGTAAGCAAGAAACTATAAAATATGATTTGACGAATAATCATGACGAAATCAATTTTGAAATGTTGAAAATAAAGAGTGCCAAGGATTCCATTGTACCGGAATGTTCCATGAAATTGATCAAGGCATCGGTAGAAACAGAGGATGGAGAATATATTATCGAGGAGAGCAGCAAAATGTTTCAAACAAATGGACTTCGTCTAGCAAGAAGCTTGATCAATGTTATAAATAGGGAAACACACATCTGGATAACTAATCCGTATCCTCGACCGTTAAAAATATTGAAAAACCAAACATTGGCTTTTGGAAGTAGTCCAGCGAAAATAAATGTGAGTCGAGAAAGAGAGGTAGAAAAGAACGAAGAACCTAGATTCCAAATAAACGAAAATCTTTCACCAAAGGAACAGAAGGAGTTAAAACAAGTTTTAGAAAGGTATGGAGATCTTTTTTCATCGAGATTAGGGAGAACCAATTTGGCAAAACATCGGATAGACACAGAAGACGCGAAGCCAATTAAACACAAGCCTTACCGGGTAAGTGCTAAAGAACGAGATATTATAAAAGAGCAAATTGACGAGATGCTTACAGAAGGCATAATTAGGCCATCTTCTAGCCCCTGGTCTTTTCCAGTAATATTGGTCAAGAAGCGAGATGGTAAATACAGATTTTGTGTGGACTACAGAAAACTGAATAATGTGACAGTAAAAGATGTCTATCCGATCCCTAGAATAGACGAAGTTATGGATACTCTCCAAGGATCTACACACTTCTCAGCAATAGACCTCAGATCTGGATATTGGCAAGTTGAAGTCGAAGAAAGAGACAAAGAGAAAACAGCTTTCACTACAGCGCATGGATTATATGAATTCAACGTGATGCCTTTTGGACTTTGTAACGCGCCTGCTACCTTTGAGAGAAATATGGAGAATATGCTTGGAAATCTGAGATGGCAAATTTGTTTGTGCTATCTGGATGATGTTATCATATATAGCCCGGATTTTCCAACGCACCTCAAAAGACTTGAAGCTGTTTTTAGATGTTTTCGTGAATCTAATTTAAGGTTAAACGACAAAAAATGCCGATTTGCTTTTGAAGAATTGGAGATTCTCGGCTATATAACGAGCAAACATGGTATAAAACCCGCGGAACATAACATCAAAGCTGTCAGAAATTTTCCTCGGCCCAAAAAGGTCAAAGAAGTACAATCCTTTTTGGGAATGTGTTCATATTATAGAAAATTTATCAAAGACTTTTCAAAAATTGCTGACCCTTTGACCAACCTTATAAAAAAAAGTGTATCATTTACCTGGACAGAAAGACAAGAGGAAGCGTTTCAAACCCTAAAAACAGCACTATTAAGTCCACCAATTTTAGGTCACTTCAATCCAAATGCACCTACTTATGTTCATACTGATGCGTCCAACATCGGCATAGGTGCAACACTTGT